GCAGAAGTGGAACTTTTATAAAACCATTTTATCCAGTTCAGTTCTGACCTTTGGGACCTGTATCTGATGTCCTGAGAGTGCAGATCATAATGGCTGCAGGCTCTTGACAGAAATGAGCATAAGTATGCAGAGAGACTCCCAAGAATGCATTTACTGACAAAAATCAGCCAGTAAGAGAGCCTGTGATCAGTCAAAGATGGACAAAGATGATTATACTCTTCAAAAGTCTTTAAGATTCTTTAAAACAGACAACCTCAACGTATATTTATAACCTAAAGTAACACTAAAGTTAAACAGTTTTCTTTGCTCCTGAGTCATTTCTGCTCTGAATTTATCATTACTGATGTAAAGTCTGATATATCAAAAAGTCATTGGAAAGAATCTGTTCTCCAGCTGAGCTCTCTCCAGCAAGGTGTAAAAGTTAATTTATSTCCAAYGATGCACATMAGAAATGWAGCTATGCTGCAAAAAAGCAAAGCTAGTGATTGAAAATTACACACTTCGCTRATGATGGTGCAAACAGCTGATGTAAGTATCTTCAGCAGCTAAAAGCTTTATTTTAAGACCCAGAACCAAGAAACCTGACCCCAGTAAAGATGTGAAGAATAAAAAATTTAAAGATACAGTATAAAGTATTTTGCTGTTAGAGCACAGAATACAAAGTAATATATTTTGTGAAGATTGTTGGAATTGTGTTATGTGTTGCTTAGTAGGCCCTTTAAAGGGGACATCAGAGTCCCAGCATTTTAATCATCAGCTGTTTAATTTTGGCAAAATGAATTTAAAGAAAATGTTCTACAAATGTTAAGAGATGCTTCTCCATCTTCATCTTCTGATACTTATTCATAGCCGGGTCAAGGAACAGATCAAGGAGTGAAACTCAGATCTCCGTCTCCCCAGTGACACTTTCCAGCTCTTCCTGGGGGACCCTGGTGTTCTCTGGCCAAAGAGGATGTGTAATCCCTCCAAGTCCTGGGTCTTCCCCAGCGTCTCCTACCAGGGGGACATGCCTCTAAAGGGAGGCATCCAGGAGGCATCCTAATCAGATGCCCGAACCACCTCATCTGACTCCTTTCCATGCAGAGAAGCAGCGGCTCTCCTCAAAAAAGGCAGATAAAAAAAATGGACAAATGTGAGCTTGTATTGTCTTTATGAAATAAAATCCCATTCCAATTCCTTATGCATACACCAGAGAGCAGCAGAGCACCAATTGTATACAAACAGGAAATGACAGTATTTAAATCTGAGTACCTCTCTGAGTGATTGGATATCATCATATCTGAGATCCACTGTCTCACTTTTTCATCAACACAACTGTTGTAATTGTGTGGCTCTTTAATTTTTCATGAAATATGTTCTCACTTCATTCTTCACAGAAAGAAGATTCACAAACTAGTTCAAACATCCACTTCCAACTAAAGAGACTCTTTAAAAACAGATAYAGGAGGCAACACTAAAAAATACACACAAAACCAGAAAATCCCTAAATGTATCATTTTTAACAAACATTCTTGGTCTTAGTTTGAGATCATAAAGATTCACCAACTGGCTTCAAGTTAAATTCTTTTTTTTTAAGTAATCAGTGTTGTGATTTATTGATTTAATGCATAATATTTGACAGAGGATATGAATAAAATAAAGTGTGCAGCAAAGCAGGAGAACCGTTTGAACATTTGGGTCCACAGAATGTTGCAGATAATGCAGGCATTTCTCAGCAGAGGGCTGTGACAAACAGCTGAAGAGCCAAAGAGAGGGTC